CACACACACACACACACACACACACACACACACACACACACACACACGGAGAGACAGAAAGAGAGAGAGAAAGAGAGAGAAAGAGAGAGAGAGACCCTTCCAAACAGTTTCTTTTATTAAAAAAGTTCTTTGGTACACTGAAAAAGAAAAACTATTTGAAACAAATAGAATAGAAACCCAGACAATTTTGGCTTTTGTTTCAGCGTAGAAAAATTAAAGCTAAACCCCGGAGAAGCAGACTTTCTTTTTGAAGAGTCTCTAGTGCTCGTTTTTGTCTTAGGTCAATCAAATACAGCCTCTACAGGGTAGATGGGAGCAAGCTTTGGGGTCTGTGCAACTTCTGCAATTCTGTGTTCCAGTGACCTGGTGCGGAGGCTTTGTGGCTCTGGAAGAGAAGGACCCGGGGCTAGCTCAGTGGTAGAACTCAAGTCCAGTCCCACAAAATGGGAAAAAAAGCAATGGGCACAGTCAGCACAGCCAGGACTTACAGACACTTTGCCCCAGGCATCCTAGGCCTGGCTTCCAGCTTATCTTGTCTCTATCCCTCGCCTACTCTCGCAGCCCTGAGGCTCAGCATGTAGGGGAGGAAGAGGAGGGAACTGAGGGGCCTGGAGCAGGTGGCTACACTTTGGAAAGGTTCCTAGGCTAGACCAGGCTTGTGCTTTCCTTCAGAGCTCACCTGGGTTCCATGTCTAATCTTGGCTGCAGCCCACACAGCCCTTCCACTGTGCTGACTGTGCCCCCTCCTCATCCTCACTTATTCCACCAAAACCCTGCAGCGGGGAAACTGATGAGCCTGGTGGGGCTGGCACAGCCGGTGCACAGGGGGTCAGGCCAGCCTGGCTCTAGCCTTCCTTAAGAAAGTGTCAGCAAGTACAGCCTCCCTTCTTATAAATACCAGATAAAGTGTAACCTGACCTTGAGGCGGCTTTAAGAGTGTGATAAGGAGGAGGGACTTGAGTTTTGAGGTTTGAGGTTCAAAAAATAATGAATTGAAGGCATTCATAATGATTCGTGCCTGGAGTGCCAGCACTTGGGAGGCTGAGGCAAGAGGATTACCATGAGTTTAAGGCTATTGTGAAACTCTGTCTCAAAACAAGGAGGGAGGGGAAGGAGATGTGCTTATTTAGCATTCATAAGACCGCTGATTCCATCCCCAGTGGCACGTGCCTGTAATCCCAGCACTTGAATAGTGCAGGTGGGACCAGACATTCCAGGTGGTCTATGTAGCCTGGGCTACACGAGCCCCTGTATCAGAAAGAAAGAAAAAGGGCGGGAGGTAAAAGAAAAAGGAAAAAAATGCACTGAAGTCCAGCATACACTTTAGCAGTACATGGTTGAAGGAAATGTTTTCTACACATCAGAGCATGAGCACGACTGACCGAGGACCCCAGAGATTCACTGACCCAGGACCCCTGGGATGCACTGGCTGAGGACCCCTGAGATTCACTGACCCAGGACCCCTGAGATTCACTGGCTGAGGACCCTTGAGGTGCACTGACCCAGGACTCCTGGGGTACACTGACAGAGGACCCCAGAAAGCTAGGATAATGACTCATGACGGCAGGGGGCTCCTGCTTGCCCAGGCCAGAGGTCACCTCTGCCCCTTTTCCAGGACAGATCCTTCTGCAGAGGTCTCAGTTTGGAGTTAGAGAACATTGATGCTGACGTGTAAGTTCCAGTTTTCATGCCATTTCAGGTATGGTAAGCTACTGTGACAGATACAGTGAAGGAATGAAGCGTGTCCTCAAGACTTTTGGACCTGTTCCAGAGTTCTCAGGGGCCACCGTGGAGAAAGTTAACCAGGTATGTGGACTGTCCAGGAGCATGCCAGCTGGCACACACTGGCTGTCTCCCTCCCATGCCACCTGTGGGAGGGGCTTGGTCAGTAGCAACAATCTTGACCCTTGATCCTGAAGGCTACTTTTTCCTGACTGTCCATATTCGACCCTGGTCTCCAGGATACCTTAAGGGTGATGGCGACCGGCAGCTCATGTTGACTTGTCTGGGGGGACTCTCAGGACGCCTGGAGCTCACATTTACTATGGAGTTTGGAAGGAGTATACACGAAGCTGGCATAAAAAGGGAGGCAGTTACACTCTCGGCAGAATAGGTCCTCTGCATGTGTTCTCTGTTTTTTCTTCCCCTTCCCTCTCCCAGGACATGTGCATGAAGGTTCCTGATGACCCGGAGCACTTAGCTGCCAGAAGGCAGTGGAGGGACGATTGTCTCATGAAACTCGCCAAACTGAAGCACCAGGTGCAGCCGCAGTAAACTTGTCACAATGCTGCCGCCACTCCTTCCTGGGAGGCTCTCTTAAGCGAGAGGCTCTCGGTCCAGTCCCTGTGCAGCGTGGAGCGGCCCAGGACGCTGGCCCGGAGATCGGGTCTGCTCCCCTGTGTGGCGCCGTGGACAGCTGGAGGCCGCTCCCGCCTAACCTGCGCTGGGCTGTCAAAGCACTGCCTGGGTTCTGAGGCCTGGGTTTCCTGCCACCTGGGCAAACAGGCTGAAGATTTTCACCTCTTCTTTCCAGTGTGCCTACACATGCACTTCCAGGCGATGATTGCAGCTTCCTGTTCTCAATCTACTTTAAACGTATTTCTGTAATTGTTTTCTAATCCCCCTCTGAGTGTCCCACGACCCTGCGTTATAAAGCAATCACCTTCAGTTTATTCTGAATAAAAGTGTTGATTCCACAATGATGGTCTGTTTCTAGACACATACACACCCACACACACACACACTGAATGAATGGATGAATGAGTGAATGAATGAATGAATGAACGAACAAACAAACGAACAGTCCTCTAGTTTGGGCCAGTACATTCCCAAACTAGTTCAACGGTGCCCTGTGATTCTCTGGTCAGATCTGTTTAAGAAGCATTGTGGGCTGCCTAACCCTTGAGATTTTCATGTCTGTAGTTTGTTCCCGGCATAAGCTTCCAGAACATTCTGAGGACCCCAGTGCGTGTGACTCTCCATGGCAACTCTGGTTTCTGGGTGCCATCACAGGGCTCCCCAACAGCTCCGGCAGGGCACTGGAACTTGCTGTCTTGGGTGGTGAGGATTTTGGGGTCACATGATATGGAGCTGTGTTTCCTCCGGGTGGAGGCTGCTGTGGTGTGGAAAAGCAGAGAGGTCATTTTTGCTAGCTTGTGAGCCTCAGTCAGTGCAGCCTTGTGTCCTTAGCACACATGGAGGATCTGGGGTTACCACAAAACCCAACAAAGTGACCATGAAGCAGGCTCAGTGTCCCAAGGACTCACACTGATGCACACTGAGGCCCTGCAAGGGAGGCTTCAAGGATGGGCGCCTCCAAGCATGGAGGAGTCAGCCAGCGCCTCCCGTCAGAGGAAGAATATGGAGACACAACAGGCTTAGACTGGCTCAGCTCACAGTGGCCCACGCTAATGGTTAAACGTCTCTCTTCCCCAGCACTCTACCGGGCCAGGCTGTTACATGTTCACTCTGACAGCAGAAGGGACCAGACTGGATACAAGCTTGCTGTTAGGCTGGGAGGTGATGGCTTGGGGATGCCTGCAGGTAGGAGTTGCCTGTCATGGCTGTGAGAGGTGTGTGTATGGGGGATCTGAATGTGCTGTGTTTGAAAACCCCACCGGGAAGATGACGTGACAAGATGGAAAGGAAGCGGGGAACCCTGAAAGGCCTCGTCCTCTTTCCCTGATTGAACTTAGGTAATCCTGGAGCTCCAGTGACTCAGCCCCTCTCCTGATCTCATTGCCTCATCCAGCAATGGGGGTGGGGTAGGGCTTGCTTCTCCCTGCAGCTGAGGCGCTGCCCCCTCCCTTCAAGGCACTCCCCAGTGCTGTTGCGCAGTCTAGGCTTGGTTCTCAGGGCCACCTGCCACCTTCCTTCCTGAGTGCTGAAAGCCACATGGTCCCCAGGCCCTGCCTGAGCTTCCTGTGACCTAGCTGGGCATGGCACACGGGTAGATCCTGCTTGCAATCTGCCTGGTTCTTGGCGTTGATGAACGTAGAGCCCAAGGGCTAGCCATGTGCGCCGCTGGGCCTGAGACTGCATGAGTGACCCCTAGGAGAGCCAGGCAGGGGGACTCACTTGTCCGGGCAGCATCGCTGTCGTGGGACAGAAGGTGCCACTTGGTTTTTGTTGTGTGTCTAGGTTGTAGTTCCGCACTTTCGTTGCCATGTCTTCCTGGGTGAAAGTCAGCCATGTTCGGAAAAATCCGAAGCGTCAGAACCTAAGGGATTTGGTCAAATGGGGATCAAAAAATATTTGGAAAGAATTTCAGAAAGTTTCTAAAAAAACAACATGTACAAACTTTCTCCCCCGGCCATTGTCAAAGCTACGAAGCATGACAACCATTGCCACAGCACTTACATTGCACCGACTCTTATGAATCATCTAGGGATGACTTACAGTATGCAGATGGATGTGCGTGGGGTTTTTGCAAATACAGGGCCATTTTAGGTAAGGAAGTTGAACACCTGTGGACTTGGAACCCGCAGGGCTCCTGGAATCAATCCTATGGCTGCCCAGGGAGGGCCTGATACATAGCAGAAGGGCTCCGTGGCCCTATGTAGCTGTCATAACATGCGGTAAGGAATTGTTAGGTATGCAAATGCTGTCTCTCACCTAATGGAAAATAACGATTAGACAGTTCAAACCTGAGAACAAATAGAGGGTAACACAGAGGAAGATGGTTCTGGAAGCAGCTGGAAAGAGTCAGGATTTGGTCAAACATGAAGCTACAGGGGAGACTGGGTGAGACCAGCTTCACACAAACCGAGGAAACACATCTGTCAGGGGGATTCACACTGGCTGGGCATTTCTGCTCCCGGCTTGGCAGGCTGGCGGCTGCTGTGCAAGAGCCTGGCTGCTCTGGTGGGTCAGTGGATGTGTCGTTCCTCATATCCTTTTTCCCACCCAAGAAGGAGCCACCACCTGGGCTGATGGGTCCAAAGCTGCAAAGGAGAGGATGCCACTTTGCACATCATTTTCTGTCTGCCCAGCCTCCTCCATCCGTCTGGCTTTGTATCTCACAGCCTTGACATTTCTGAAGAGTCTCAGTCTGGGTTTTTCTGATGGTTTTGTTTTTGTTTTTTTCAATGAGTAGACTGGCATCTGAGATGAGACAAAGTGTCCCCCTTGGTCATAGCTGGGGTCTATGATGCCTGAGTAATATTGCTGGGCCATCATTGATAGGCTTCATAGATGGATTTCTGTATTCCAAATTGCTATTATATTAAAAAAAAAGGGGGGGGGAGTTAATCAGAAGGACCTGCCCAATCAGATATCATCCTGACTAGTTTCTGAATCATTTTCTTGGGGTTTGAAAGCCATAAATCTTTGCCAGTGGAGTGCCTACAATTTCTGCTCAGCTTTAACCAAGGACTGAAAGCTTACTGTAACTGTTTTGAGACAGGATCTCATATAGCCTAAGCTGACCTTGAACTCTCCATCCTCCTGCCTCCGCCTCCAGGAACCATGCCCGGCCTCCTTGTCTCCATTCTAAAAGCCACAAGTCTGTAATCGCAGAGAGCCTGAGATAGGAGGATCACTGAGCTGGGAGAACAGTTTTGTCTCCCAGTGTCAGTGGCCACCTTGAGATTCCACCTGCAGCCTCAAAATAGACTCAAAGGTCTGGTGGAGGCAGCAGTGGGGGCCGCTCTCCTGTGCTGCGGCCACCTTCACCAGGAGGCTCATTTTTGGTGTGACCTTGCCTTGTACCCTGCATTTAATGGTGACTTTGTCATTCTGCCCTTCACAGTGACTAGTGCCCTTCACAGCGCTAGCTTGTGGCTTTGAATCCAGCTGAGGTGTGGCCTTGAGTCTCATTAACCTCGTCAGAGAGAGTGGGCCTTTATGGAGAACCACAGGACTGACCAAGACTGTCCTATTAGGCATCACAACTTGTTAGAATTTACTAATTTTCAGTGGATTCATGTAACAGTTATTGAATATCTATTTCATGTCAAGGCCTATTTGAAATGTTGAAGATAGAGCCATGAATAAAGCAAGCCAAAAGGAAAGAAAACCAGAAAACTCTGCCCATATAGACCTTACATTATAGTAAACAATACAAACATTAAACAGACAAATCAGTCAGCAAGACAGGCGCTATGTCTAAAGACTGATTGTGTGGCTAAAAACAAAGCAAAGGGCCTGTGGAGTGGCTTGGCAGGTAGAGGTGCTTGCTGCCAAGCCAGACAGCCCAAGTTTGATCCCAAGGACCCACATGGCAGAAGGAGGGAACTGGTTGCCACAGACTGTTGTCTGAATGCCACATTCACACTGTGTTCTGCAGCGTGAACACATACACACAAAAGAAAAGAAAAAGGGGTAAATGAAAGGGGTGGAGGGAGAGTTGTGCCTGTAGAACAGTGCATTTTGGGAGTTGGCTCCTCATAGCCACTCTCTCTGCTGTGCTGGGAAGGCAGCCCTCTGCCAAGGAATTGAATCTTGTGCTGAGCCCACCAGTTTTCCCTCATCTTGGGTCTCGCTCTGAGGGGAACCTCATGTTCAGATTCAAGGGACACCTTACTACCTACTTACAGCCTGGGCTGGGAGGGAGGGACCTCAGCGGGAGCCGCCAAGAGGCCCCAGAACAGTTGGGGAGTGGGCCAGGACGATTAGAGATAGAGACAGATGAGGAAGAATGTAATTCTTTATTACAAACAATAATCTGTGGACTCAGACTATGAGGGCATGCTGGAGCTCAGGCTAGTCTCAGGGTCTGATGTTTGGCTCAAGACACATTCTGCATCTTCATCACATGGTTGCGGATTCTAATGAGAGGCCATACTTGATCTGAGAACAGATTCCCTCAGACAGCCAAGATGTCTGAAGGACATTAGAGCACTGTGGAATAGACTGGAAGATTAATGTCTCCCACCTCTAGCTGATGGCTGGCTCAGAGAAGTCACAGGACGCAGTGACTAGAAGCCTGGGCTCTGGGGACAGACTGCCTGCCCTCTGCAGCACGTAGCTTTTAGAAAGTCGCCCACCCTTCTTCCCTTACTTCCTGGGCTCTAGCTGTCTTATGCTGCAGTGAGATGTTTGTATGATTGTTACGGTGTGGGGGGCTTATGATGCAGACCCAGGAGCTAGCAGGTGCGGGTAGAGTGATGAGTCGGGGCCACCGAGACACGGGGACGGCCTCAGCAGTGCATGGGCGCTCATCGTTTTATATGTTGTATGGTGTGAATGACCTGTCCCCAGGCTGCTAACAACACTGCAGGAGGTGACCACTGTCTGTGCCTTCCCACACACTCGGGGAGACTCTGGGAAGGGCAGTGGGTCCTTCTCACCTCTCACTGGCAGCAGAGAGAGCGAGGCTCCAGGTCTGAACGTCGTATCATCCCTGGCAGTGTCGCTTCTCAGGGCCAGCACCACAAGAATCATCAAAATGAAGAGGAAAGGAACTTTTGCAGTGTTGGGGCTTAAACCGCTGTCCATTCGAGGCAAGTCTACTACCGCTGAGCCACCCCCCAGCTCCAGGAAACTTGTGGTCATGACTTTCACCTGCCGCTTGGGTCTGAGTAAGAGAGACCACAGGCTGATTGGCTTAGTCAGCCATTGTTTCTCATGATTCTGTGGGCTGAGTCAGATTCTGAGGTAAAAGTTAACCAGGTTTGCCAATGCCACACCTCGGCTTTAAAACCAGCACTTTAAGCTGTCCAGAAAGAAGGCTGTGTGTAGCTAGGACTCCCAGTGTCTT